CAGATGGAGAAGCAGACTTCCCACGGAGCTGGGAGCCTGATGTAGGACTTGATCCTGGGTCTCCGGGATCATGACCTGAGCTGAAGGCAGTCACCCAACCAACTGAGCCATCCAGGAGCCCCAAAATAAGTCTTAAAGTAGGGGAAAAAAATCCACATTTATACAGCAATTTCACTTACATGTAAAGATGCAAAAATTCTAAATGTTATTACATGATGTATAGGTTATTAAAATATTCATAATATGTAGAGGAAGAGAGTTATAATTTCACATTTTCTTTTTTTTTTTTTTTAAAGATTTTATTTATTTATTTGACAGAGAGATCACAAGCAGGCAGAGAGGCAGGCAGAGAGAGAGGAGGAAGCAGGCTCCCTGCTGAGCAGAGAGCCCGATGCGGGGCTCGATCCCAGGACTCCGAGATCATGACCTGAGCCGAAGGCAGCGGCTTAACCCACTGAGCCACCCAGGCGCCCCGAATTTCACATTTTCTTAATATAGAACTCTAATTACTCTAGGCCTTTCTTAGTTCTTTGTTCTACTAGACATATGTATATATTATATAGATGTGTGTTATATATGTTTATATATTATTATACACACACACACGTTATTTTTGCTTCAGTCTTGGCTGAAACTGGAGTTGTATAATGTGAGCTTCTAAGTAACAGTCAATGTTGTCAGCAATAAGATGCTGAGCAATTCATAACCATTTTTTTGCAAAGGCTGGAGCCTAAGAATATTAATTGTCAAATTAGAGATAAAAGAAAACAAAGAACAACAACAAAAGGAACCCCATTTATTATATTCTACTTGTGACTGTATTCTGCAAAACTTCTGGTGTACTTTTCTAATTATATATTATATTATCACAGTCTCCAAGGCTGTCTTCTTCAGTGGAACTGACCATAACCCAAGCTGTAAATAGCTGAATTTTCCTAGAAAGGTTCCAGATTTATTATATCCTTAGCTTTGCCATTCAACCAAAATACTAAAAAGTAACTAACTCTACAAGAATCTTTGTCTTAAAACTTAACACATGGGATATTTTGCTTTCATATTATAGCAAAATAGAATTTATGTTGTAATAAAGCATACTGTAATACCAGGAAATATTTTATTACTCAGTAAGTTAAAGGATAAAAATTGTATGATTACTGCCAAAAGATGTGTGATAAAACTTAGTTGTCATTTCTAATTAAATTAATATAAAGATAGAAAGGCCAGCCTTTACTATGACCGAAGCTGTCTACCAAACCCCATGGGGAATATGCTACTTATTGAAATACCGAAGCCATTTCCATTTATATCTAGAAGGAGATGAGGACATGTATACTCATTTCAGTTATTAAACATGGTTTTAGAAATGTAAACCAATCAACAGGGCTAGAAAATAATTGATGTAAACATGGGAAAGGAAGAGTCAGAATTATTTCTATTTAAATCCTATATATACACATCTGGATAAACCAAGACACCGTAGGAAAACATATTTGGTATGATGACTAAATATAAGACACATATAAAAATTAACACCATTTTCTATATAAGCTATAACCAGTTAAATATGAATATATATATATATATACAGTACCAAATTTATATATATGTGTATATATACACACATATGTATACACATATATATATAGTACCAAGGTCATGAAACACAAGAATAAATAAATCTGAACAAGGGGCACCTGCCCAGCTCAGTCAGTAGAGCATGTGACTCTTGATCTTGGAGTTGGGAGTTCAAACCCCATGTTGGGTGTAGAGATTACTTAAAAATAAAATCTTTAAAAAAAAATCTGAACAAGAAAGCAATGAGATTCATATGAAATACTATAAAATTTTATTAAAGGGAATATAATAAGAAAAATCAGTGTCAAAAACCATGTTCCTTGATGTAAAGTTTTAATAGAATAAAAATTCAATTAATAGAAAAGTTGATATAATTCTAAGCAATAGAAGAACGAGAGAGTAGGCAGAAAAGAAAAAACTGTGGTGGGGGACTTGGCTTACCAGATTTTAAAATATTGTATATTCTAGTTACTGTAATACTTCAACAATTGAATTTAATTGGGCAAATAAACATACACACTACAACTCTTTAGACCATATAGATATACAATAGATGAATCCAGAAGTTGAGGCTAGATCATGTCTTTTGAAAATTATTATGTTTTCCTGAATTTGGGATATACAGACCCTGGATATATCATTAAGTGAAAGAGGTTAGGTCTTAGAGAATTTGAGTAAATTACCTTATATGGTAGTAATTAATATAGCGTTAGGCTTTTCTTATTAGAATTTTTATGTCCCTCTTTATAAAGATGTAAAAATCCTTTACATTGGCTTTTAATGTTATTTGTGTACTCTGTATTAGCTTGCTAACAATGCCATAGCAAATATCATACATTGGGTGGCTTAAACAACAGAAATGTATTTTTTTTAAAGATTTTATTTATTTATTTGACAGAGAGAGATCACAAGTAGGCAGAGAGGCAGGCAGAGAGAGAGGGAGAAGCAGGCTCCCCGCTGAGCAGAGAGCCCGATGCGGGGCTCGATCCCAGGACCCTGAGATCATGACCCGAGCCAAAGGCAGAGGCTTAACCCACTGAGCCACCCAGGCGCCCCAACAGAAATGTATTTGATCATAGTTATGGAGGCTAGAAGTCCAAGACCAAGGTTTGGTTTCTTCCAAGACCTCTCTGCTTGGCTTACAGATGGCCACCTTCCTGCTAGGTCTTCGTATGGTCTCTTTGTGCAGGTATATTCCTGGTGTCTCTTTGTGTGTCCAAATTTCCTCTTATAAGGACACCAGTCAGATTGAATTAGGTTCTACTCTAAGGGACTCATTGTAACTTAATCATCCCTTTAATAGCCCTATCTCCAAACAGTCACATTTTGAGGCATTGGGGGTTAGGGCCTCAACATGAATTTTGGGGAGACATCATTCAAACCACTACATACTCTTTGTCCCATTTAAGTGAGTTTTAGTGACCTCTTATATAAGTTGGTAAGCATTCTATTTTTTCCCCCCAGGCTCTGGAAGAATTTACATATTATATAAATTATCTATTACTTGAAGGATTGGAATGCTGTATTCTTATTTTTTTTTTTTTTTTAAGATTTATTCATTCATTTGAGAGAGAGCACACACAAATGGGGGGCAGGTCAGAGGGGAGAGGCAAAGGGACATGCCAACTCAACACTAAGTAGGAGCCTGACTCAAGGCTAAAGGGGGGCTTAACCCCAGGACCTTGAGATCACAACCTAAGCTGTGGTCACCGGACCAACTGTACCACCCAGGCACCCCAGCATGCTGTGTTCTTAAAAACACCTGGTCTTTGGGGAACTTTTAAGGTGTTATATCTTTAAATATTTTAACATTTTTTCTTGTTGGTTATGTTTTATTCAGGTTTTCTATTTCTTCCTGAATAAAATTAGGTTATTTTCTTTAATTTCATGTAGATCAGTAACTGCCAACTGGGGGCAGTTTTACACTCTCCTCTACCCCAGACATTTAAATGTCTGGAAACATTCTTTTTCCTCAAAATTAGTGGGAAGGGGATAATACTGACAATCTAGTGAGCAGAGGACAGGGATGCTACTACAAACACCCTACACTACCCAGGAGAGCTCCTCACAACAGTTCTCTGATCCAAAATGTCAACAGTATGAAAATCCTTCTCTGGATGTTCAAACTTACTGGTATATAGTAGTAGAATGTTTAAGAAGAATCTCTGTCTACATTGTTATATAAAATACCTCATTCATAATGTCTTTAGTTTTTAATTTTTTTCTGGACCATACCCATATTCTGACCTCTAGAAAGAATACTTCTGGATTACAGACTAAATCTAAAATAGAGTTGACTTGGGGCGTCTGAGTGGCTCAGGGGGTTAAAGCCTGTGCCTTCAGCTCCGGTCGTGATCCCAGGATCCTGGGATGGAGCCCTGCATCGGGCTCTCTGCTTAGCAGGGAGCCTGCTTTCCCCTCTCTCTGCCTGCCTCTCTGCCTACCTGTGATTTCTCTCTGCCAAATAAATAAATAAAATCTTTAAAAAATAAAAATAAAAATAGAGTTGACTTAATCTCTACATTTATTAATTCTTATCTTCTCGTTTTGGAAGTTATTTTGCTTTCTACCTTCCTGTGTTTTACACGTGGTTTATTTTTCTGTTTATTAAATTATATGCATGTATCAAGGATATACATTTTCCTATCAGTATAGCTTTGGGTCACATTACACAGCATTTGGTATGTAGTACTCTCATATCATTCATTACTGAAAATTTGTATTTTGTACTTTGAGTTTCTTCCTTAAATTACCAAGCTGATAGTGTATTTTGTTTTAGCTCAACTTTTTTACTTGATTTATCATTCTATTGTTTTTCTGTCAAAGTGGGCTGTTTTTTTTTCTTTTGATGTTCAATATGGGATTACTTCCCCATATTTTTCATATTAAAGAATGTTTTTATAATCTCCTAATTTGTTAAATAAAATCTTTATAATGGCTTCCTACATTTGTTACATTCGTTATAAAGACTGTCTTTATTATAAATCCACTAAGTAGAATAAAGTATAAACTAAGTTTTTCCACATTATTCATATGAGTATAATTTCATGCTAATATAAATCATTGACATGATATAGTTATTATATTTTTACATTCATGTGGCCTTTCTTCTGCATGAATTCTCTGATGCAAATTATAAAATACATGCATAGAGTTCTCATCTAGTAACTATCTGATGTCCCATAAGAGATTCCTTAGAAGCAAAGGATTGCCTACATTCATTACAATACTAGAGATTTTCTTTCTCTAGCATGAATTTTCTTCTGTCGAGTAAGACATGAACCAGGGATAAAGGCCTTCCCACACACCTTACATTCATAGGGTTTCTCACCAGTGTGAATTACCTGATGATGAGTAGGTTGTGCTCCTTGACCAAAAGATTTGCCACATTCCTTACAATCACAAAATTTCTCACCTGTATGAATTCATTGATAGTGTGAAAGTTCTCTGTTATGACTAAAGGACTGTCTACATTCCTTACATTCAAAGAGGTTTGCTCTGGAATGAATTTTTTGATGTCCAATAAGATGTGAATGATAACGGAAGGCTTTATTACAATTGTTACATTCATAGGGTCTTTCTCCAGTGTGAATTCTCTGATGTTGAGTAAGGATTGAGTGGTGATGGAAGGCTTTCCCACGTTTCCCACATTCATAGGGTCTTTCTCCACTGTAAACTCTTTGATGTCCCTTAAGAATTGAGCTGTTGCTAAAAGCCTTCCCACAGTCTTTATATTCATAGCGGTTTTCCTTTAGCATGTGTTTTTTCATATCAAAGGAGGGATGAGTGGTAACTGAAAGCTTTTCTACATTCTTTGCATTCCTAGGGTTTCTCTCCAGTATGAATTCTCTGGTGTAGAGTGAGGTGTGAGCCACGACCAAAAGCCTTTCCACATTCCTTACATTCATCGGGTCTTTCTCCAGTATGAATTCTGTGATGTCAAATGAGATTTGAGGGGTGGTGGAGAGCTTTCCAACACTCATTACAGTCATAGAGTTTTCTCCATTATGAATTCTGTAATGTCTGTAAGTTTTGAGAAACTGCTAAGAGTCTTTCCACGATCCGTACATTCATAGCATTTTTCTTTGGTGTGATTTCTCCCATGGTGAATTAGCAGTGAGTGGTAATTAAAGACTTTCCCACATTCTCTGAATTCATAGGGTTTTTGCCTAGTATGATATATCTGATGTAGGCTATAGGATATTTGTTGACTGAGACTTTGCATATTTTCATAGGTGACTGTCACAGCTTTAAGATATTCTTCTTAATTTCTCTGTTCTATCTGAAAATGGTGATTATACTTCCAATCGTCTTGAAAAATGGAATATCCAAAGTCATGGCTTGTAATTCTTTCCATTATCTTCCTTTGAGATAATTTTATTTCATAATTGTCATCCTTTGATAATAAGTCCTTTGTTGTTGCATTGGGATTTCATATCTGACAAGTAAGAAAGAGAGAAAGAGAACATGCATTTTTTTTTTCCAGTTCCTGGAAGAACAAAATTTCTGAAATAGGAATATTAACACAATACCTATAAGAAATTGAGGGCTAAGGGGCACCTGGGTGGTTCAGTGGGTTAAAGCCTCTGCCTTCAGCTCAGGTCATGATCCCAGGGTCCTGGGATCGAGCCCGCATCGGGCTCTCTGCTCAGTGGAGAGCCTGCTTCCCCCTCTCTCTCTCTTCCTGCCTCTCCACCTACTTGTGGCCTCTATCTGTCAAATAAATAAATAAATAAAATCTTTTAAAAAAAAAGAAATTGAGGGCTTGGAAAGATCTCAAATATAACCATGGAATGTGAACGTGGACAGAGAAGGTGATTAAAGAAGCAGGTTAACTAAGTGTTTCTAAAATGTTGCTTCAGATCAGAATTACTGGAAAGTTTGTTAAAAATACAAATGGTACAAGTATCACTTCAAGGCAACTGAATCAAAATCTACAGGAACAGGCCTTGGCTTTAAGAAAAATCTCTAGTGGGTGCTTGGATGGCTCCGTCGTTAAGCATCTGCCTTTGGCTCAGGTCATGCTCCTAGGGTCCTGGGACCAAGTCCCACATCAGGCTCCCTGCTCTGCAAGGAGTCTGCTTTTCCCTCTCTTTCTGCCCTGCCCCCCTACCCGTGCTCTCTCTCTCGTGCTCTCCTGCTTGCTCTCTCTCTCAAATAAATAAGACATTTTTTTAAAAGAGAAAAAAAGGAAAATCTCTAGTGATTCTGATATAGTCTAAAATTATAAAATCACAAAGGGTTTCCTTTGCACTTAGTATAACATTTGAAAAATGCTATTTTAACATTAACTCTAAGGTGATGTCATGACCTGGCCCTAGCTAACATATCACTGAACTATGCTCTTCCCCATTCACTATGCTCTGTTCCAAAAGCAGATAGAAAACCTTTTCTACATCAGTGTGATTTCCACTGCTGTTCTGGCAGGTACTGTCTTTGTATGGCTGGCCCCTTCTCATCCATCTGCTCTCGGTATAAATATAATTACAAATAACACTAAAAATCCCCCCTCTCAAACAGCATCAAACAACACCAAATCTTATTCAAGTGCCAGGATGACTAATCATAATCTTCATAAATTTTTCCCTCATTTATTTTTCTCATTTTCTACACTAGACTATAAGATTCCTATTGGAAGGCACCATGTCTGTTTCACTAGTATTTATTTAATAATATTTCACTATTATTTAATCAGCTTTTAGCACACAATCTACCATATAACAGGTGTTCAGTAAGTAACTATTGAATGGTGAGGATTAAAGAAAAGGAATTAGAATGAGCATGTTGGAAAATAACAGGCAGTTAATAGGAAAACATTTAAGTTCCATAATTATTTTAAAGAATCTTTATGATGTTCTATGCATTGTGGCAAAATTCTATAACTAAAGTTTCATGTTATTATAAACATATAGATTTACTGATGTGGGGAAGCTAGATGGTACCCTCCAAAGGAACAAAGGGTGTTTCGGTGGGTAGTGATTCAGAAATTCTATAATAAAAGGAATGTTGGGTGTTAGTTTATGGGGCAAGACAATGGCAATTCAAAGTGGAAAATATCCTGGTGGAAGTTCAAAGGGCTCAATGAGTCTGCTATGAGCAGATGACAAGGAGGTAGTTTTTGTGTCTAGAGTTGAGACTGTGTAAAATACCATTTTTTTGCTCGGCATGTGATGATGTTCACCAAGGATAAGAAACAAGTAGCTTCACCAATGGCAATAGCCACTGACAGTTTGACGGGAAAGCAACCTTCAGATAGGATGACAGAATAAAATGCAAAGTGGTATAAAAGGAAGATCCAAGGAACTGTATCAAAGAGACTGGATTTCAAGTGTCAGCTCTGCTAATTACAAGGATCGTGTCATTGAAAGAATTACTTACAATCTCTAAGTCCCACTTCCATATCTGTAAAATGATGGTAACACCTGACACAGGTTAACTGCTAAAATGAAGCGTTATTTAGGAGGAGATTGGGAAAATAGTGGAAACTGTTTGAAGCTCAGTGAAAGGCACATTATTATATTATTCTCTTTACTTTTGCAAATATTTGAAAATTTCTAAAATAAAAATAAAAGAAGAGAATACTTTGGGTAACGTTCCTGAGAAAAACTAAGTGGTATTTTAGTAAGTGTTGATTATAATAAAGAAAAAAATATTTTCACAAAAATGATGTAAGTGGATAAGGCAAACTATTTTGAGGACATCAAAGTAGTGCCTGGCTGAGAAGCATAAGCCAAAAGGTAAACATTATTCTAGCCTCAACTTCTTCAACATTCAGAAAATCTTGTCTAGCTCCTAAATAGGTCTTTAATTTTTTTCTTTTCTCTTGATGTCCACAGCTGATACTCAATCCCAAGCATAAATGATTTCTCATACAGGGAGAAAATATTTGCAAGCCATATACTTGATAAGGGTTTAATATCCAAAAGATATACAGCTCAGGGTATTAAGGAGGGCACGTATTGCATGGAGCACTGGGTGTTGTACATAAACAATGAATATTAGAACACTGCATCAAAAATTAATGATGTATTTTATGGTGACTAACATAACACAATAAAAATTTTTAAAAAATGGGAGGACCTGAATAGACATTTTTCCAAAGAACACATACAAATGGCCGTGTCCATGAAAATGTACTCAACATCACTCATCATTAGGGACATGCAAATCAAAACCACAATGAGATATCACCTCATGCCTGACAGAATGGCTATTATCAAAATGACAGGCAATAACAAATGGTGGCCAGCATGCAGAGAAAAGGGAGCCCTTGTATAATGTTGGTGGGAATAGAAATTATTGTAGCCACTGTGGAATAACAGTATTGGAATTCCTCAAATAATTAAAAATTGAACTGCCATAGGATCCAATAATCCTACTTCTGAATATATCCAAAGGAAATGAAATCACTATCTTGAAGAGATATTTGTACCCCCTTGTTCATTGTTGCCTCAGTCACAATAGCCAAGACATGGAACAACTTAAGTGTCCACTGACATATGAATGGATTAAGAAAAATGGTGTTTATAAATGGGATGTAATTCAGCCATAAAGAAGAAGGAAATCCTGTCATTTGTGATGACATGGATGAACCTTGAGGGCATTATGCATAGTGAAATAAGTCATACAGAGAAAGTGATCTCATTTATATGTGAAATCTAAAAGGCTGAACTCATAGGAATAGAAAGTAGATTGGTGCATGGGGCGTCTGGGTGGCTCAGTCACTTAAGCATCCACCTCTGGCTTGGGTCATGATCCCAGGGTCATGGGATCGAGTCCTGCATCAGGCTCCCTGTTCAGTGGGAAGGCTGCTGCTCCTTCTCCCTCTACCCTTTACCTCCCAACTTGTGTTCTCTCTCGCTCATTCTGCTCTCACTCCCTCAAATAATTAAAAAAAAAAAACAAAACTTTAAAGAACATACAATTCAACACACACACACAGAAACACAAAAATACCCACAAACAAACCAATTAAAAACTGGGCAGAGGACCTAAATAGACATTTTCCAAAGAAGACATACAGATGGCCAATTAATCAATGTAATGTCTGTTTTTACAAAGAGGAATATATGTATGTATTCCTTTTGTAATTAAAAATAATTTTTAAAAAATCAGAGAGGGGTGAAATAATTATCCAAGAAGAAAGTAATGGAGATCATGTTCTTTTCTAACAGCTTTTTGAGATACAAATCACATTCCATACAATGCACTCATTTAGAGAACATAATTCAACTTGACCATTCTCTTACACCATTCACAAAGATAAACTTGAAATGGATGAAAGACATCAATGTGAGGCAGGAATCCATCAAAATCCTAGAGGAGAACATAGGCCGTAACCTCTTTGACACTGGACACAGCAACTTTCAAGACGTGTCTCCAAAGGCAAAGGAAACAAAAGCAAAAATGAACTTTTGGGACTTCCTCAAGATCAAAAGCTTCCGCACAGCAAAGGAAACAGTCAACAAAACAAAGAGGCAACCCACAAAATGGGAGAAGATATTCGCAGATGACACTACGACAAAGGGCTGATTTCCAAGATCTATAACGAACTCCTTAAACTCAACACCCCAAAACCAGATAATCATGGCAAAAAATGGGCAGAAGACATGAACAGACACTTCTCCAAAGAAGACATACAAATGGCTAACAGACACATGAAAAAATGTTTATCATCATCAGCCATCAGGGAAATCCAAATCAAAACCTCATTGAGATCTTTTATCCATTTTGAGTTTATCTTTGTGTACAGTGTAAGAGAATGGTCGAGTTTCATTCTTGTACATATAGCTGTCCAGTTTTCCCAGCACCATTTATTGAAGAGACTGTCTTTTTTCCACTGTATATTTTTTCCTGTTTTGTCGAAGATTAATTGACCATAGAGTTGAGGGTCCATATCTGGGCTCTC